GGGGGATTTAAAATATCAATGAGAAACTTGAAAAATCGTTTAATGAGACGAGCAGCCAAACAGTTCATTATTTTGTTTTTGCTTCAAAAGATCATAGATTGTAGCTAAGACAACGTATTCAGTGTATTTTATAAATTACCCTTTTTTAATATTTTAATTAAGCAAGGGCAGATTTTCATCCCCGAGCCGACGACGCGAAGCGCCGTGCGAGGGTACTAATTCCCCCCCGGCTATTTACACCCGGGGAAACGAAAGCATTAGCGAAGTCTAAAGTTCATCAATTATCGTGGGCGTGGGTCACCAACGATGTTGGGATGTTGGGCATAGAGATTATAAATAACACTAGAGGAGGCATTGTAATCTTAATTCAGTAAAAAAAAGGGAACGCGACTATTGGGGGGCAAATTCAAGTCCCGGATGTGTATTCGTGTTCCCATTGGTGACGAGTTTCAAATCAGCCAATGAGAGCACAATTTTATATCCGGGACTTGAATTTGACCCCCATTAGCTGCGTTCCCAATTTTTAACATCGATGCCTCCTCTAGTGTTATTTATAATCTCTATGAGTTGGGTGGGTGGTCATCCTCACTGATCTCAAAAATATGGCGGACTGTCATGAATAGCGGACACTGATTGGTCCAATTTAAAGTTTGCATTATAACGACTGCATGGCAAACATTTCTTGATTTGATGATTTATTAATTAAATTTCTTGCAAATATATTTCATTTTTGCTCGCATTTTTGCAAGATTTTGTGAATTTCAAAAGCTCTCTCAGAAAGAAACTGCGAAAGAATCGGCTAAAAGAAGGGAGCCGACGTTAACGAAGGTAAGTTTGTTTTAAATATTGATTTTATAATGGCTTTAAAACCCGACGGCCTTTGCGTATATGAAACAACTATTAAAACAAGACAGCATATATAATTTCAGTGTATCTTTAATATTGATTCCCTTTTTTATGACATTGAATTTTTTAAATAAAAAAGAAAGCAAAGTTATTTGCAAGCGAGAATTTCAAATCATTTTATGAGGGCCCCCTATACTTTTTGCGTGAAGCGTGAAGGGCTTGTTTTACTTAGCCGTGAAACGTGATCAGGCCCCCTATACTTTTTGCGTGAAGCGTGAAGGGCTTATTTTACTTAGCCGTGAAACGTGATTGATGATTTTCTTAATCCGTGACTCGCGAAAAGGCAAAATATTTTTACGTGAAAGCATATTGTGAAGAGGTATAGGGGGCCCTCTTTTATTGCAAACTAAAGTTTATTGATAAAGCCATTTTAAAAGGCAGTTTAGTTTTATAAAGAACACTAGTGACTTTAAAACGTTTTGCGAAGCGTTTGTGGTTGAATTTTACCTTAAATTGAGGCTTAGGCCACATAAAATAAATTCCTTGATTCTCATCACTACACTTTGAAAATGTCGAAGAGGCGGGAGGTTTATATTTTATATTTATATAATTTATTATAATATAGCATTTGTAAATTCTGAACGCTGATTGGCTAAGAGCCGTGTTGATATAACTCCATGTCAACACGGGAAATTTTCCGCCGCTTGTAACACGGAAATTTTTCTTATTCTTCGGGCTTTTGACATTGCTATATTATAAAACAAATATAAAACATTTTTTTCCGTATTGATATATAGTTATATCAACACTCGTGGAAGTTGGGAAAACTCGAAATTGTGTGAAAACACTCCGCCCTTCGGGCGTCGTGTTTCCACACAATTTCTCGTTTTCCCAATTTCCACTCGTGTTGATATAACTGTATATCAACACGGAAAATGTTTTATATTTGTTAAATATATATCAATAAATAAAAGTGTCACAAACTGAAATAAGGCATATTTGTCCACGAACAATGACTGACCCTTGAACTGAATGCGAAGTTCCGTTAAAATGCAATGAAATTTCTTTCAAGGTTCTATTTGTTTGAAATTGGCAGTTTAAAATGGCACTAAAAACCTAATATAAAATATAAAAAACTTAACTGTCTTGAAATATTTTGTCGGGCGGTACATTTATATTGTATAACAAAATATAAAAAAATTTCACGCTTCTCTTAAAATACAGTCGGGCGGTGATGAGAATCAAGGAATTTATTTTATGTGGCCTTATATTACGTATTAAAAACTCATCAATAATTCATGAAGAAAACACAAGTATATCCCATACAACACGGCCGCTCATGTTGTAAATAGTACCAATAACATATCTAACATATATATGTTGGGAAATTAATAATTTTGTAATTAAAAGTGATATTTTTAGGCGATTTTTCATTTGTAAGAATATTCTTAAAAAATTATCGTGTTACCATGACAACTACTTTAGATACTTCATGTTCTGAAAATACAATGGTTTTGTCAGCAAGGCGAGGGCTTCTGCATGCGTGTATTTTCTAGGGACCGTTCATTATTTATACTTGGGGTTGGTACTGAACAGAAGCGAAAAACACTGTAAATTTTTTATTTACCCAACCTCAACAATGGTCAAAATAATGTTTACCCAACCCATGTGTTACTGTACTTCATAATAATTAAACGAACAAGATTATGGTGACAGAAATCAAGTTGCCTAAATTCTAAAAGCTCACTCACACTCAAGCTCACCGAGTGTGCCAAAGCAATCACGTTTCCGCTGATCAATGATAGAGTCCTTCCTCTATCACTGATGGTCTATTTTGGTACAGAATGTATTGTACACATTTTTCTTCATATTTTCCAATGCTTGGTAATTTTGGTTTTATTTTATTTTATTTTATTTTATTTTATTTTATTTTATTTTATTTTATTTTATAGCTGACAAACAGCCATACATTTTTTTTACCCAACCCATGAGCTAGTCAAAAACCTGATTACCCAACCCATATCTCTTCGGTACCAACCCCGGGTATAAATAATGAACGGTCCCCTAGTTTGTTTACTGTCGTTCCAATTGAAGTGTTGCTCAAATATTGATTCAATACATTACCTCGGGCTGACCAATTCATTTCATCAAGTTCCTCGAGATATTCATACACTTCCTAGTATAATTGTAAACTTCCTGTTGAATAGTTTGAATGCACCAATCACCTTTGTTGTTTGTGCAGCTAACCAATCATAAATAGAAAGGAAGTGACCAGAAATGATCAAATACTTGGAATTGGCTCTTTCACAGGAAGTGTATGAATATCTCGAGGAACTTGATCAAATGAATTGGTCAGCCCGAGGTAATGTATTGAATCAATATTTGAGCAACACTTCAATTGGAACAACAGTAAAAGGAGGGCCGGTAGAAAAATTTCTGGTGGGGTGAAAGCGGCACCGCTCAGTGAGCTTCGGCAGGGGTTAGGCATTTGGGTTAAAACCTTTTCACACAAAATAGGAGGGGTGAAGCGAAATTTTGGTATGGTTGTAACACTGTATTAGAGGGGTTAGATAGATTCGGGGGGGGGGGGGGTTACCCCTCCAGTAAACCCCCCATGATTTTAAGATGATTACACCCGTTTTCAAAATTACGCGACCAAAGACGAAACTGCTAGAGTTGACATGTCAGTTTTATGCCATTCGATCACGAAGTTCAAATTTTGAGTTTTGCGGTTCC